GGCTTCCAAAAAACCTATTTCTTCCTGCCAATCTGTCCCTACTTAGAACCTTGTTTCTGTGCTTCCAATGCGGGATCTGGATAATGCAACCAATCTGAAAGGCTTCCAAGATGAATATCTGCCTGTTACTAATCAGAACAAGAGCTGTAAGGAAGACAAAAACAGAGAGAACTACTTGTTAACATGCACCACCTCCCACAAGGCCCCTGATTGGCCTAGCCCTAGTGTATGAAATCCATATAATTCACCAAGATCATCATATTGCTGAAGAAGATCAGAATATATTTGCAGAGAGTGCATAGCAAAAACAACAAAGAGTGAACAAAGTGGAACTCTAGTTGCATTTGAGACTTCAATTTATATATACATATATTATATATTTCTTAGCTGATATTTAAAACATTATAAGAACTATGATAGCACAATGGTTAGAATGCAACACTGTAGGCTAACTCTGCATTCCACTGCCAGGAGTTCAGTCCTAACCAGCTCAAGGTTGACTCAACTTCCCAGCGTTCTGAAGTCGATAAAATGAAGACCCATATTGTTGGGGGCAATAAGCTGATTCTGTAAAGTCTTAAACAGTGCTGTAAAGTACTATAAAGTGATGTATAAGTCTGAGTGCTGTTGCTATAATTGTACCAAGGCAGCAGCCAATATAGAAGAATAAATAAGGCATACAAAATGCTTTTTGTACCTAAGTACTGCATAGAGGCAATCAGGTGGTTTCAGACTTAGCACATTAGGCTTCCTGAGAAATATTCTGTTCAACCTTGCTCATGGATTTCTTTTTTCAGGTCCTTCCATAACTATGCCACTGCACCCAGTAGTTTCCCATACAGGCATCCAAGTTGTAATTAATATAAGCCAATGAATGTTGATTCGGAAACACTGATTATTAAAATGCCAGTTGACAAATTCACACTTGGCCAAGTATTCAATTCAATTCAATTCAATTCTTAAGGTGTTTTAGACTAAAGGGGTTAGAACAGGCTTGGGCCATCACTTGAAAACAGCTGTTAGACTTGGAGAGCCAAAGGAACTCAGTAAGTGCAGGAAAAGATGCAGATTGGGTAGGACTGTTTCCTTGGGTTTGGTGGGACATCTGGGAGCAAGTTTCTTTCCACTTGTGTGGCTTAGGTTACAGATTTCATGCATTTCCTTCCTCCAAATATTAAGAATTTTGCTGCCAGTTTTCAGCAAAACTGGTCAGATGGGACCACCAAGAGAAGGTTTGCTGCAAGTTGCTGGCTGCTGTGTTAGAAAGAGAACTTGCCAAACATCAAGAAATAGGCCTACTCAAAAAGTTAAAACAGTAGAAAGCCACTTCAGTGTCTGGCATCTGAAAGAAATACAATCCTATATTTGTTTCCTAATCAACTAAGTGCTGGATAGGTTTCTGAAGGAGCTGATCAATGAAAGCTTCTCATTTTTACGTTTTTAGGCTTTCAGGGAACCACAAAGATGTGGAAAATTTGTATCTCTTAGGGATAAGACCTAATCAATGATAACTCTTACTGATGAAATTGTCCCAAAGGAGATTACCATTTTGAGCATGTATTGATTTTTATTATTATTATTCTGGAAGGCATGCAACCCTTTATTTCTGGTACTTTGCTTTTTACTGTTTAATGGCAAAACACATGGAGAGACTCTATTTTAAAGTCTGTCATAGCAGGGGTATTTATATATAAATATTGTTTTAACTATGAATTCATCTCACCTTGGTCTGTCTATAAATCAGATGTTCTTTATTTTTTTTATTGAAAAGTTTTATATAATATACATCCCAAGATCCACCCACCCCTATCCCCCCCCCCCAGATGTTCTTTATTTTGAACACACAAACAGAGGGACAACTTTTCTGAAGGTTGTGATGTGGCATTGTTTGGAATGTGGCTCAAGATCCCAAAACAAACAAACTCAACTGGAATTCCAGCAACAAGGTTTTATTTAAAAAGAAGCATTTGCAAAGTCTTGGTGAGCTGAAACACACATAGGAGTTCAGCCACACCTTAAAGAGCTGTTTGACACATTTTTATATCCTACTCCCGATACAGATTCCCCCCTTCCCCTATCATACTCAACGGCCCCTTCCCTAATTATCTGATAAACTATCTGGACCGCCTAAAACCACTGTTCTCCCATGTTCCATGAAGCCCCTTTATGCACATCCTATCTATCACCATCTAATTTTCTATTAACAAAGCTCAGTTCTTATAATTATCTCTATATTTGTTTGTGGTTATACCTTTGCTACCTTAAGCTCTAAACTTTATCCTCAGTTTTTGTGTTTCCTCTACTTGCGGTTTCAGTTAGCTAGCAACTTCTGCTTTTCTTATTTGCATATAGCTAACTTGTTTGAGTTTATGACTTTCAGGTGGCTTCTCCTACAGACCTTTAGATTCATTAGAAATTTCTGATTAATAATCTATTCCTTTCAGTATAATACTGGCATAGCAATACTTCTTTCCATATGCCTAATATTATTTAATTTTTTTACCCAATAATTTCTTCCATCACTCAAAGATCCCTGAAGTGAAGAACATGATTTTACATTCTTCCCTTTCATCTGCAAAAGCAGAGGACACTGAAAGTTGAATCCTTCTTTAATCCTGGTGATTGTTGTTTCAATTAATGCCATCAAATTTGCTCACAAGGCATATATGGCAAATAGCTTTCTCCTCCAACTCCTTGTAAATGCCTCTTAGCATCTAATGTTTATGGCAACATTTTAACTTTGCCCAGTGAAAGAAACTAGTCTATTCCAAATAGCTTGTCTACCACTCTAGATATATTGAGTTAGAGCTTTCCACCCACCCCCTGCAATATATATATACATATAATTTTCAAAAGGGCTGGAATAGTTATCTTTAAAAAGCATTTTATAAAATTCTTTAGAGTCTTGGGACTTTAGCACTTTACTGTATTTCAGGATTGGCTCTGACACTGATTAATGTTGTGATATCTTTTGGTGAGTTGAATTTATTTTTTTCTCCCTCTGCTCTGGTTTATAGGAAACTATTGCTATGGTCCTACTGCCTTTATGGATGATCCATTTTCTAATTGGTGAGAACTGATGCCTCACCCTGCCTCCTGCCTCCTTGGCTTAAGTCAGTTATTACTCTTTTCCACTCCCTTACAGAGATTCATTATCCAATTTTTGGACCTTGTTTCTTCCTATTTGCAATGATCTGAACTTACTTCCTACCCACTCCCTGTTCAATGAATGAATGAATGAAAAATTAAAAAATCCAGTGATAATTTTCCAATGCAAAATTTCCTACATTTTGCCTTTAAAACTCATAGAAACTTTTAGATGGAATGGAGAAATAGCATTTTGTTTTGTTCATATAATTTCCCACAACAATCTCACAGATTTTATTTATAAACAAAGACATGTAGTCAGATACTTGTGCAGAAAAACATGCAATGTTTCTGTTACTTCACAATTGGGGGAAACTCAGGGATGGGCATTGATGGAATGGCATTCTTTGCAGTCTTCTATTAGTCAGCTGGAGGGGGGGAAGGAGGAGCAGTTTTGGGTTGCTAATGTTGTCTGAGTATTCCCTGCATTTCAAAGCTGGCAGAACAGAAGATGAACGCAGATTTTATTCATTTTTATGACAGACTGGAAGGTGGAGGTATTAGGTTAAGGTGACCAACCATCCTCCTTTAAGGAGGACAGTCCTCCTTTTGTAAGTTCTGTCCTCCCTCAAAAAGTGTCCTCCTTCATGTCCTCCTTTTCGATATTTGAAGACTAATCTGCAGGGCTTTTTTTCCCCTCATAGAACGCTCAGAACGGCGTTCCGGCACCTTTTTTTTTATGTTTTTTTTTCAACTTTTGCATGAGCTGTGCTACTCCCGCTTTTGGCTTTCAAAGCCAATAGGAATTGCTGCTGAGCGCGCCAAAACACCCGGCCAGCAAACTTTGCACATGCAAGTTGTCTGTATTATTGTTGCAATGAATAAAATGTTTCTTTTATTTACGATATTTTTTTCTTCAATTTATTTGTGTCCTCCTTTTCATTGTAAAAAAGTTGGTCACCTTAATTAGGTGAAAGTGTTGGTATTGTTCATATTCCACCCCAGGGTGTTTGTAATAGAATTCATAATTCCTTTTGCTTAGATGCAGTTTTACCTCAATAACCAAAAAACCAGTTTGTCTACAAGTGGAATGAGCCCTCTGTCATTGGGAATGGTTTAGACAGAAATAACCAGTGGCTCCACAGCAAGTTTCTGTTGACTAGGAGTGGCCTCAGAAACTTCTGTGTGATTTGTTTATGTGGTGACTTGGTTTGCTATGAATTTGGAAACAAAATACTGGTTCATAAAGGGTTTGTAAGAACTACCTTGGAATAATTTGGTTGTCAAGAATGGCTTGGCTTACTGTATATTATATTAATGCTTATATTAAAGGGAAATGCAAATCACATTTGCACTCTATTCAATATCTTTCTCAACTTTGATGATGAACACATTTACAGTAATTTTTCAGCCAGCAATACACCCATTTAACTAGCTTCCTAAGCAACACCATGAACCATATATAATCATTTACTGAAATTATATATTGTTTACACCTTTTTTATAATCTGTTAAGGAAATTGCCCAGTAAAAATAAAAACAGCTTAGTCCAGCAAGATTTGTTTATGATAAATTCATGCTGACTTTTGCTAATTAAGACAGGTTTTGAGCTGTTTGTAGTTTAAACTCTTTGCGATCTGCATTAGAATCTACCTAGATACTAATATCACTCTGGCTAGTCTGTAGTTAACCTGATACCTGTTTTGTTCTCTGGGGCAACATTTGCTTTCCTCCAGTGATAAGCTACTTCACCAGTTTTTCCAGTTTCTCAAAGATAACACATAAGGGTTTAACCAGACTATCATTTACTTCCTTCCTTATCCTAGTGTTGAAAGAAAAATCTTCATCAGGGTCCAGTCCAAGCCGGGAATAAACAAAATGGAGACTGCTTTAGAAAGAAGATTGTAATTTATTGAAGAGCAGAACCACAAGACATGTGGCTCTGGAGCAGCTGACTACCTGGTACTGGGAATGGTGGGTTTTTATACCTTCTTGAGCTTTTGTGTTTGGAGTTGTTCCTGTTCCTGCGGCTTTGTATTTTCTGTGTCATGTACTTTGACCTGAGTCTGAGTGTGCCCTTTCTGTATTCTGATGGTGGTGGGTTAATCCTGTTATGTCCTAAAGGTCATGTCTTGCTTTTCTGGGGCTGTGGCTGATAGCTATGTCCTGTGTTGAATGGGTGAGGGGTAGCTAGTTCTAATTTTATCACACTACTATTGTTAGCTATCAGTTTTCTGCAAGGCATTTTGAAAGATCCTATCTTGAATGGGTTTCTGCAGGTAGTATTTGCTCATGAATGCGGCTTCAGTCTTTCTGAATGGGACTATCAAATCTTCATTTCTACAGACCTGGCCTCTGCTTGGGGTTATTAAGAAAAACTGGGCCTGCTTTCCTTTGGGGATGGGGGGGGGAGGCACTCTGTAACAGAATTTTTACAAGAGCCTCCAGGTTTTCCTTTATCCCTTCTTATATTAATAAGAAACAAGGTGGGATATTTTGGCTTCTTTCTTTCTCCTTTCCAGGGACCACATTATCATTTTTCCTCCATTAATGGCTCCTGCATGCGTTAATCAAGGTTATTTCCATATTTTTCTACAAAAATGGAAAAAACAGTGAATGCTTAGCCTTGAGAAAAGAGAAAAGAATGGATGGATGTTGTAACACAGAAGATTAAGACTTGTTTCCATCATCCCAAATTGCAACTCCCTCTTACACCAATCAGAACCAAAATGGGGTATTTTGAACTCTTTCTTTCCCTTTTCCCAGGACTAAGTTGTCATTTTTCCTCCATTAATGGCTCCAACATAACATAATCCAGGCTATTTTTATATTTTTCTACAAAAAGGAAAGAACTCTGAATGCTTAGCCTTGAGGGGAAAAAAGACAGAAGGGGAATGAATGAATGTTACAAAGGAGAAAACGAAGACCTACTTCTGTCACCCCAAAATGCGGGTCAAAGAATAAATTCATAGGAAAGCATATTCCACCTGAAAATCAGAAATACTTTCCTAATAGAAAGAGCAATGGAATAGTGGACTGAATTATCCAAAAACCACTTATTTTTACGGCCATTTACCTTTTGGCAATGGGAAAGTGAAAATTCTCCCCATTGGTCAAAAAAAGGTGTCCTCCCACATGTGGGTGGCTAGATAATCAGAAAAAAAGAAAGAGGAGGAGAAGAAGGGGAAGGGGAGGGTGTTAGTGCCAGTTTTCTTGTGCTAGAAGCATCTCTCCCCTTTGCCCCATGAAAAGGCAATTGAATAGCACTTTTCTCATACTTGTCTTTCCAAAGTAGGAGGGGAGTGCCAGAGGCTATTCAGACCAGAATGGGACAACTCACTGCAGCCAAATCATCATGGCCAACTCATCATGGCCATCTTGCCACAGCCAACTCACTATGGGACAATTCGCCACTGGACAATTCAACTATTCGATTTAATTATTTAAAATAATAAAAAACTTATTTTAATTTTTGTCATTCACATTTCATTTTGTCCCTCCTTTGCTATCCTTTCTTTAATGATTCTATTCCACCATTTCTTCGATATTAGTCTAACTCTTGTCCCATTGCAAGTTGTCCCACGGTGAGTTGGCTATGGCAGGTTGGCCATGGCAAGTTGACTGCAGCAAGTTGGGTGAGAGAAGGTATTTCTCACCCCTGGAGGCTGTTCTTGACTGGACTGTTGGACATGTGTGAAGAAAGGCTCTCTATAGAGTAGGTTTGCAACATGTGATTCCACAAGGATATAGATTTACTTCTCTCCCCCTTTCCTCAAACTTTTCTTGCTAAGTGGACCGGAAAAAAAAACAAGAAGAAAAGAGGAGAATGGTTTTTTGCAATCCCATGATTAATCACTATGTGGGATTGGAGAGCTGATAATAGGAGTATTCTGTTACCTGAGTTGAGTGGGAAAGTGGGGGGGGGGAATTGAAGGGAGATTGAATCTCTTGTCCCTCTCCCCCACTTTCTTGCTGGGTGCAGGAAGAAAAATGGGATAAAAATGGCAAGGAATGGCCCCTTCTCCCATGGAATGATAACTGACAACAGAGGTGGACGAATCTCTGGGACTGTCCCTCCTCCTCCTCCTCCTTTTACTTCTCACACAGACAGAATTCTTGTTCTGCTGAGACAGAAGTGAAGAGCGGAAGTACGATTGGCTGACTTTTTATAACTGCTGTGCAAAAGAGCATCAGATAAATAGTTTACCTATGTTCTTTCCAGACATTTCTTACATGATTTTAATGAATATGTAAAGAAGATAATGATGTTTATTCCTTCACTGTCCCTGAACGTTCACCTTTCTTGGCAAATGGACTAAAGAGATTTTTGTATCTTTAAGGCTCCTTCTCCTATTTCCCAGCAATTGCCCTCAACATGAGTTGGATCAACGTGATTTTGAAGCCTGATTTGCAGTGGAGAAGAAAACCTCCTTGCCGGGAAGAGAAGAAGAAAAATAGCAAATGGAGTTAAGGGCCAGTCCTGCTCCTTGCCTATTAATTAAAGCCTCAGAGGCACTGCCTGAATAGAGCTGCACTGTTATTGGAGACTTCAGGCAGTAAAAGCAAGAGAGATTCTCCTCTTTTCTCTTTCTTGGGCATACATGCTTAAGAAAAAAAATAAGAAAAGGCAGTCAAATGAGTTTCTCGCTTTTGTTTCATCAGTGCAATCTCACTATCTCTTTTTCTTTGTTCTTCACTTTAGAGAACGAGGAGAAGAAGGAGGAGGAGGAGGAGGAGGAAATAAATCTTTCTGCATGTGGAGATTGTAACAATCTAGTGTGCACTCTCCCCATGTCAGATTGACAAGCACCACTATTATTTAATTACAGAGACTCCACTTACACACTTTGAGGCTGTGATTCTCATAGCCATAGGACCACACCAAGCTAGGGAAGATGGAATCTGCAAACTGATAGAAGCGTGGAAGCACAGGCAATAGTTTAAGCATATGAGCAAGAGAAAGTCTAAATCTATAAAACACAGCTAATCCCAGTCCATATCTCTTGTATAAATGTATCAAAATTAAGAAAGAAAAAAAAAAGGAAGGGATTTGCATTTTTTAAAAAAAGCAGAGCAATAATATCTTACTGGTCATAGCTTTTAAAGATACTTTGAGTTAAAAACAGAAAGAAAACCAAATAAAAGCATACTGATTTGCAATCTGACTTAATAATAGAATCATGAATATTTATGTGCTTGATGTTTTCTTTCCTGTTCACCATTCAGCCATCTTCTTGAATTTTAGAAACCAGGCCTCGTTAATGAGGAAGGCAGTGTTCAGTTCTTTCAATAAATTATTTTCTCTACAACATCAAACATTTGGACAGCTAAGCTTCAAGGACTCACATTGCATGCATAGAAAATGTAGAATGCATGATGTGCGGGCATCTTACAGCACAAAGAGAACCATTTTATGCTACCAGAAACTACCCTGCAGCCTGTGAAATTAATTCCTTGGGATGGATCAGAAAGAATCAATTACCTCAAACTGCTCTCAGTCAAGTGACTAATGGTTTGGTTAAAAATCACGCTAACGGGCTAAATGGGGGCTATGGAATGGGAGAAGCTGCACTAAATGAGTTAAACAGTTCCTCTATCCCTCTTCTTCTCCAGAAAAAAATAGATGGCACATTATTTCATAGTTTGTGAGTTCATCTGATTCCCCTCCGCTAATTCTTAGCATGCATTCAAAATTTACAGCAATCAGAATGTTGGTTTCTTGGCCATTCTTTAAACTTGATTTTGTGAGACTTGACAACAATGTATTTAGCATAAGTCTTATTTAATTAGGGCAGCAGATGTTAAGGATTACATTCTGAATATTAAATTCCTTTACCTCTGAAAAAAATATGCTTTATATTTTCTGTATGCTTACATTTTCAGCAGATTATTAATTAGCAGTCTCGCTTTGAACAGATTACTGCATCTCAGGACAAATAATATTTCCAAAATCTTTACTTAAGAAAAGTTCTCTTGACTAGCACAGATTTTGTTAGTGAAAAACAACTTTAATATTTTGTTCAAAGAGGGAGGTACAGGAATACTAGTTATTTTGCTACCATATATATACTGGACTATTTATCTATAGAAAAAGGCCTGTTAATGATCAACACTTTCAATCAAATATAATATTTATTTATTTATTTGTTCAATTTCTATGGTCACCCATCTCAGTCAATGACTCTCGGTGGCCTATAATTCAGAAAATGTATTATCAATAAAAAAATAAATTAACAATAAAAACAGTGTAAAAACAGTAAAAAAAAACATAAAAAACATATAATTCAACATGCACAAGAGCAAGATATCTGGTCCATTATCAATATAGCCAGGAAACAGGGCCCTTGGCACTTTCAGCACCCCAAGATTGGAAACATAACCAGGTGTTTAGGGCTTTATGAAAGGCTAATAAGGCTTTGGGCCATTATTATCTCCGAAGGAAGAATATTCCATAAAGCAGGGGCCACTGAAGAAAAAGCTTGCCTTTTGGTTGATGGAAGCTGCAGCATGCCCATTCTGCTTGACCTAGTTGGATGGTAGAAACTCTTGAAAAAAAGCTATTCATCACGTACCCCAGTCCCAAGCCATGTAGGCTTTATAGGCATCCAGAAGCACACTCATAATCGGTTCAGCCTACACAGAAATAGTGTTACATGCACTGCATATGTAGCACCATTTACACAGCCACATTGTGCACCAGTTGGAGTTTCTGAATAGTTTTCAAAGGCAGCTCCACATTACAATAGTCTAACCTGGAGGTTACGAGGGTGTGAGTTACTGTAAGCAAGGCCTTCCAGTCCAAGTATGGGTGCAACTGGGACACAACCTGGAGATATGCAAAGGCCCTCCTAGCCATGGCTGTCACCTGCTCTTTGAGCAGGTGCTGTGAATTCAGGAGAACCCCTAGATTGTGCACTGAGTATGCTTGGGGCAGTGCAACCCCATCCAGAACCAGAGGTAGAAGACCCTTATCTTGGGGGTTTGAAAACCCACAGACACTCTATCTTGCTAGAGTTGAGTCAGAGCCCGCTTCATCCCATCCAGTCCCCAACAGTCTCTAGACACTGGGATAGAACATCCACAGCATCACTCAAAGGGTCTGGGGTAGAGATGTAAAGGTAGGTGTCATCTGCATACTGATGGTATCTCACCCCAGTCTCATGGATCATATCACCCAGCAGCTTCATGTTAATATTAAATAGAAGGGGAGAGAGCCCTGAGGAACTCTACAAAATAGAGGCCATGCACTAGATCAGTGGTGATGAACCTATGGCACGCGTGCCAGAGGCAGCACTCAGACCCCTCTCTGTGGGCACATGCGCCATGCCCTGGAGATGGCAACCATCCTCTTCAACCTGCCACCCACTAACTCGCCAAGATCCCATGTGGCCGGATGCATCCCAGCACCCATGCGCTCGCTGGCCTCTGTGTGCAGAGACCGATGGTGTCAGGCAGCAGCCACCCTGGCCCCTTCCTCACCTTGCCCTGTGACAATGGCATCCCCGCCCTGCCTCACTTTGCCTCACCTCACCCCGCAGGACGAGCCTCCTGCCCACCGCCCCTCCTGCCCACCGCCTCCCCCAACCCTGCCCAGCCCCCACAAGCGTCCCTCCTCAGGAGCAACATTAAGCTGGCCATGCCCACCCTGGCCACTCCCACCCATCTGCCATGACCACTGTAGCCACGCCCACCCGGCAATACATAAGTGGTTTTAGGTTGCAGTTTGGGCACTCGGTCTCTAAAAGGTTCACCATCAGTGGGCTAGACCTCTTTCCCTCTATCAACACTGACTGGAACAGACCTTGGAAGAAGAAGGAAAACCAGCACAATAGAGTACTACCTAACCCCAGTTCCTGGACCTGGCCCAGAAGGATACCAAAAGCTATGATATTGAATACTGCTGAGAGGTCAAGAAGAGCCAAGATGAATGTGCTACTTCCATCCCGCTCCCGCCAAAGATCTTCAATGTGATCACACCATTCTCACAGAGCTGGCCAGATATGACAAATTTGTTCTTCTTTGAGATGCATACGTATCTTTTAAATAGGGATTAAGTGAAATGTATATTACTCAAATAAGCAAATAAGACCTTTATTTTTGCATAAGTGAGCTGAAGAAAACATGTATTGTCAGAGCATAAGATGGAGAAGGAAAACAGAACCTAATGATATGTATTGAGTTTAGGTACGTACAGATCTAGGAAGGGCAGGACTAGAACTAAAGGAAATTTATGAGTTGGATTTTCCAGTTTATGTGTTTGGATATGTTGAAAGTGTGCAATTTAGGGCATGTAAGAGGGACTGAGGGTTCTTAGAATTCTTTGAGTCTGGTTGTTCTCTTGAGATATTTCTTTATCAGGAGCTGTAATGAGTGAACAGGAGAACACAACACTCTCAATCCTGTTAATTAAAATTTCAGACCCACTAGGGATAAACTGTCATTTACTAAGTGTGGAAGACCAAAGAGAAGCCAGATGCCCGTTTGCCTAATCCCCCTTCTCTCTTCCCTAGAAGGAGCTTTCTCTCACTGTGCTTAAAACGGTTTTCCATGAAATCTTGGAAAGAAGAAATATTCACAAAACAATCCTGAAGGATAAATCTTGCAATTCAAAGCATTGAACAGCTGGTGGTTTAAAGCACCGAACAGCAGTTTAGTGATTAATTTGCCTCTTTAAAATGCAGAACAGTGTGATACAACAAAATACAGCTTACGCCATACTTTTCTTGCACAACAGCAACCTCTCTGTGTGCTGCCTTGTAGATTTAAAAATAGATACAAAAATAGCACTAAGTAATTGCAGGACAGGAAAAAGATAAGAACAGGGCAAAAGAAGATAGGAAAATTTCCACTGAAAAGGTTGCCTATGTCTGTTTATTGTTATTGGCCTTTGTGTTTCAGACGAGAGTGAATGTGTATTTCTTGAGATTTTCTTGCTATTCATTGCCCTGCTTATCATCTTAGGCTGACATTTTCTTCCTTTCCCATTCTATTTCTAGCAGTGGAAGTGCAGCTGCTGCTGCTATTGCTCAAAATGCCTCAGGTTGGACAGCTGCTATTTACATGCCTTCCCCCACCTCCATTATTATATGGTCTCCTCAGTCGTCTTTTTACTGCAATGATGTCACTAAAAGCTGTTCCTGCATTGTCTTTTTGCCTTCAATGTTCATGAATACTTCCAATCTGCTGTCATGTACTCTGACAGCTGGATACCTTTCAAGGAATTCTTAAATTAGTGTTCACTTATATATAAATATAGTAGCATTTTCTGGAAATTGTCTATGCATTGAAATATATTTGTCAAAAATATATTTCATTTCATAGCTACGTGCATTTCTTTCCAAGCCATGCTTTATTTTATTTATGAATATATTTTTATGTTCTATCCAAGAAATTGTGATGGTGAACAAGATAAAAACAATGGCTAGAATCACTAAGGGTACAACTATCTATAAACAGATAGCGTTTCCTATATGTGCTTATTATACATGCCCTAGATTCTCAACCATGTGTTCCAAATCGGCACAAGAATTCTGGAAGTTAGTCTGTACATTTACATCTTTGATGTTTTTGTCACATAACAAAATAATCTACTAATGCCTTAATGAAAATGGAGAAGAAGCACAAAAAATTATCAAAATCTGAAAATTAGGCTAGGAGTGCACATGACTTTTGTATGTTACAAAGATGCTTAGTTCTCTTTCCTCATTAGGAAGGATCAAAACCATGATGAAACTGTGCTTTTTATATGTTGGGGGAACCTTAGTTTCAAAACGAATCTGTGTATGCCTTTTCTATTGTCTTGGGCCTTTAATTCAGACATAAGTAAAGCCTTTTTATGTACATGACTTCAACAAAGGAATGGGACAACTTGCCACAGCCAACTTGCCACGGCTTACTCACCATGGTCAACTTACCAAGGGACAAATTGCTGCAGGACAATTCAACAAATACAAAAATTAAAGTAATTTTGATGGAACTGTGGCCAATAATAATAAAATAAAGAAAATCGATCCAGAAATATAAGAGTTACAATAGTTTCAA